TTTTTCTAAAAACCACCGGGGAAGTATATTCATTGAAACAAAAAAAAAAGAATTTTCTAAATCGGTTCAGGCGTCTTCCAATAATCGGCGAACATATATAAAAAAAAGATTCCGACGAATTGAGAACCTCCTCCTGTTTTTAAGTTGGTTAAAAAGAGTCACTGATTCTTCGGTTCTTATCACTCACCATACGAAACACAACAGCATTATACCCTGCTTGAACCTCCCCATTCCCACCGCAGCTATAATACACTGCAGAGTAGTTCTTCCCTAGAACTGGGAAAGTCGGAAGTTCGAACTACTGCCTTTCGACTACTGCGGTGATCCACTCTTAACACAATTTTAAGCTTATTTGCAATGGTTAATGGAAATATAAGTAACGTTAATACCGTCACATATTAGTATTTTGTTAAAAATTATATATTCTATAATTTATACAACAACAGTGAAGTTGTAGTTTTTATGAAATTTAAAATAATTTTGTTCAGTATTAAAGAAAACGAAGAAATTGACACCTACTTTGAAACTCAGGATGACTTTATTTTTTTCATCTATATTTTTTTTTATAGGATAAGGATGACAAGCGGGCACACAGTCCACCTGGTGGTAAGTGGTTGCTGTGGGCCATAGACACCTACATAGGTACATATATCCTCGTTTGCGAATCAAAATGCAGATGTGTTATCAGCCGTGAGGACTATTGAGGACATTTCCAGTAAAAAGGGATTTGATGGATGCCATCAAATCAAAACTTTTTTGTTTTCAATATTTGTGTAGTTTTACCATTCTATTATTTTTAATTAATTAGGTTTAGTGAGCGTGTAGTGGCGGTGTAAGAATATTCACTTCCCCATATAGGCAACAAAAGGAAACAAACCAGGCAATGGGCAGCAGCATCTTCCTAATAACAATAAAAAAACTGCGAATGACAACCCGCCTGCCAAACTTGGCAACTATGGCAAATATCGGCCCTTGAAATTATCTATGAGGGTAGCATATGTTTAGCAGTGGACTTTTAATAGCCTATAAAACGATAACGGTATTAGTTTGTTTATTTGGTACACTTGTATATTAAGTGTTAATCAATATTTAAAAGAAATAAAAGCTACAGCATAATTGACGATATTTTCATTTCAAATTAATAAAAATAATTAATTATCATTAAAAGTACTTAAAATATTCATCCTCCTCTCATTTAAAATAAAGTTATAATGTAATATCTAGATATTCATAACTTTGCTATATTCTCAACTAGGTGAACTCTATATTTCTAAGTCGTTTATACGACGTGTTAACCGTCATTTATTAATCCCAAATATAAAATCCTTAACCCATAACATCAAAGGTAGATCACGTTCTTACTATGGTAGCGATCTAAGTCCGCCATATATTGGAGGCCGTGATTTTATCCTTCTAGACTATTCTATAGACGCCTCTTACACCACCCATAAGCCGATATGGGGTAATGAGTTGATTATTTTACGTCGACACCACACAACGTGCTGCGCTACCTCATGGCTCAATTTAAAATTTGTTATCATAATTATTCCTACCAATGATATTTAGTGTTTTTATATTCAATTTAAATATGTTTGTGAGAATGTGCGACAGAGGATACGTAACCAATTAAAATATGTTTCTTAGTAGGCCCTTTTTACTGGAAATGAGGCATTCCATCTTAGTCCTCACGGGTGACAACGCATCTACATTTTGATTTGTAATAGAGGATAGATGTAAATGTCTATGGGCTGCAGTAGCCACTTACCATCAGGTGGACTGTGTGCTCGTTTGTCACCCTTATTCTATATAAAAAAAATAAAAATAGTAAATTTTAAACGCGGCAGCCAATTACCGAATAGTACCGGAAGCTGTCAACTACACAATAAATTATTATCTAAATAGGTTATTATATTATAGATATCTAGTTCCGTAAGTGCGTGCTAACACTTTTCGTAATCTACTCACATCCGATATAAAACTTATGCGATAATATCAGCGATAACCTTGGATAAAGTGTTAAAGAAACGGACAGGGACAGACACGCAACGAAATCAGAGTTACCAAAAAGAATGTGTCTTGACTTTAATACCCACACATACGCCCCCAACCCCCAACTGCCCTTCTAAGTTTATTTAGACGATGTATCTGTGTACTTCATCTCTGTTACTGTAACTTTTACAAATCACATTACATACTACTAACATATAAGTCCTAATTGCACATTAGTAGCCTAGCTATAGTGCGTAAGTAAACCGAGTTCATCCTGGCTGTCAATAATGTTAATAACAATTTTAAGTGTTACTTTACCATGTACTCGAAGTACACGAGTTTCATGTGCTCGAAGGTAAAGAAAAATATTACGAGGAAACCGACATGTTTGCGTTCACTAAGGCATGCCTAATATTAACATTGAGATTGGATAATTTCTCAACATTAGCCCCATCGTTGTTCTGTTGTGTCTAGTTGTAGCAATTGGAAATTGATTTGTAAGTTATAAGCTCCTGTGTCAACTATGCAGAAATTAAAAAGTTTTAACCAAAACACAATACTTTTTTTACAAAATAAGGGAGACAAACGAACACATAGTCCACCTGATGGTAAGTAGATGATATGTCCCGTAGATACCTACATCTAACCTCAGTTAAGAATCAAAATGCAGATACGTTGTCACCCCTGAGGACTAAGATGGAATTCCTCGTTTCCAGTAAAAAAGGTCTTCGGTTCTCTATGGTTCGTCAATGGTTTGCGACAGTCACCATATGAAACACAGCAACATTAAGCTACTATTTTAGCTTTTCAGGGGAGGCCTATTTGTTAAATACAAAAGACTTGCGATGGGATGAATGATTTAATGACGACGAAGTAAATTAAGTAAGATAAAGTTTTCCTTCTTTGGTGTAGAATTATCTATGTATATATATAAACGCGCAACGCACAAACCAGACCACTAGACGTAGAAATCTGAAATTTGGACATTAGCTCTCTTTTATCTACTAAGAATTTTTTATTCTCTAACGGATTTTTGAAAATTCAATCAAGGGTGTTAAAGTTTGTATGAAACTTTTAACTTTAGAGGACGATTGACTTGAAACTTACCGTAAGTACACGTAAATAAATTGAATGAATATATAGCTTGCGATTTTTCAAAACAACGCTTACAGGGTAGCCAGAGAGTGTTGAAATATATAACGGGAAAAGAAGAATTAATGTTTTTCTTAAATTTATTTTTAAAGTTATGCAAATACTCTTGTTTTCGTTTTGTTTTTAAATTACCCTTAATGTTTTGTAACGGGAGTGCAGTTTGTATGAAATAACTTGTATTAAGACGCATAATCCAAACCAATAAAGTGAGAAATTAGAACAATAGGTTTCTTTTATTATGAAGGCATGCAATAAGAAAGAATTTTGGAAATATCAAACACTAGGTTAGGGTAAGATAGGTAGGAGGGTAAAATAGGGTATTACAGTTTGTACGGCACTTTTAGTTTTACAGGCGATTAACTCGAGACTTACTGAAAAGATTATGTAAATAAAATAAATGAACACGTATTTTGCGGTTATTTTTTTCAAAACAAAAGTTGTTTCGTTGCAGAGGTTGTTCAATTTAATTTATGAAGAAAGAATAATTAAATGGTGTTTTAATTAACAAAACTAGTGCAAACAGTCTTTAAAATTATAAAATATCCATTTTCAATTTTTTCAATAACCGTTTTAAATGAACATGCAAAATTTGTATGAAAAAAAATGCATGTGTCGTGGAACACTCGGTTGGATCGAAGTTCCTTGCGTAATATATTATTATTGATAAACGTAGTTATTATATTATTGATTAACAAATACAAATAAATGAATTACTAGCGGCTATTAAAATGAAGCGTCATTTGAAATAAAATAATATTTCTTTCATGGCAAAATAAGAAAAAGTGCGAGGGAGTTGAATATTATTCCATCTCACTTCCTTATTTCGTCGCCAAGGCCGTCTACACTATGACACAAGGGGTAGTGACGAAAAAATCTTACACTTTTTGTCGCCTATCTCCCATCCGCCAAACCCGTACCGTCCGATAAGGAACTTCGTTCCAAAAACCGCTGGACGTAGAAGCGTGAGATTGGGATAGTGGCTTTTTTTTAAGTGAAAATTTATATAAAAATAGATAATTTTTGAGTAAAATAAATGAAAATTTGTATTTAGACTTTAGATTAAAAACTATAAGAGACACGTGTTTTAATATTTTTGTCAAATTTATCTTTAAGGTGTATATTCTACCTACAACGAATGACTAGGAGGGATATGTACATAAATTATACAATAAAGTTAAATAACACAAGACGATGACAGTTAAGGAAATTAGGATGGATACAAGAAAATACGGGTAGCTTTGAGTGAACATTTTTAAGGAAAATAGAGCTTGAACATGGTGACAAGTAGTTCCACAAGTGTACAGCAGTAGCAGAAAATTGTTTATTGAAGAAAAAGAAGGAATGTCCAGAACATTATCCAATACAAGTGCGCAGAGAAAGATTGTTAGAGTGGTTTTCAATTTTCGAAAGGCTTTAGTCTAACTTAAAATATGCGATCATTAATTATCATTCCCAAATATGAGAAAGATTCCGTATGATATAATAAGCGTGGGTCATTACTGTATGGACATTAGAACTTGGACGCAAGCAACACCACGGTGTGAAAAGCTAGTATTTTGTAAGGTTCATGTGAAATCACTGAACTGTCATTCATTTTATCCAGATTGCAGCTTTCTGTAAACTATTAGCGTCGGCTAACGCCGGTTTGCTTCACGGTGTTGGTCACACCATCTCATCTTAGATCATCACACGTTACGCCAGCAGCTATGCTCTGCCTCTCCCGCACTATTATTAAACTACCTCCTTTTTTACGAGTAATGTATTTTTCTTAACTTTTTTTTAAAATATTTAACTAAATTCCATAAGGTTATTTAATTTCATTTAAAAAAAATTACGCTGAAAAAAGTTACTTCACTAACATGATACGATTTATCGTAGTTTTCTTTTGGTATGCAGATTGTATATCTCAGTTCTTAGACACATTGCATCAAACACTCAATATCACCTACCGAAATTTGGAACATACAGTAAGTAAAGAGTTATTCAATTTTCGAGATATCTGTTTTGGTATCTGTAGATTACAATTTTTTTCTAGGCTTTTCCTTAATCAACTTTTAGTCGGCAGTAAAAGTTCTTAGTCAAATACTCAACTCAAAATTATAACTACAAAACTCTAGGAATATTATAATAATTAGAGATAAATAGAAAAATATTATATTATTTAAGAATAAAACTTGTAATGAGAATTTTTCAACAACTACGAGTACCATCCACTCGTAGCAAACATAAAATTGTTCTATTTAGCTCAAAAGATCTAGTAACGTTATTTTTTATATAAAAACTCAGTCAAGCTTAACTTAAACATCCGGTTTGTTTTTGTCTTAAAATTTAATAGTAAGCCTAAAATTAGATTATATATGTTGAATGACATAATATAACAATATAATAATTTTTGATAATAACGTTTGTACTTCAATTGTTGTAAGAAAAATGAAGGAATAATAAATAGTTCTTCATTTCCTATTGTTTGTTTTTATGATATTTTGAACTATGCATGAGGCCATGATAACAACAACCTTAATGTACTTACCTAAATGTAAATCGTTTTGATAATCACGTAGCATGATCAACATATTTATATCATACAGAAACAACATTTTAAGTTATTAGTTCTCATCTTACTGTAGAAAGATTAAGGCATATTTTAAGTTACATATCAATCTTATTCCAACCATTATATTTCGGAATTCAATATTAGCCTCAAATCTATTCAAGCTTTTTTGAATGTTTCATTGTGCAAAATGTCCAACATTCCATCAGTTCAAATGTCTTGGTTTTAAACCGTCGCTATAGTCCTAATAAATCTACACAAGTAAATAAAATTGAAGTGCCTGTTTGTATACGGTACTTTAAATATCAATTTTTAATTTTTTTTCTGTATGTCTGTCTGTTTTTTCCGGCTAATCTCCGCAACGGACGGAACGATTTTAACGGGACTTTCACCGGCAGATACCTGATGTTATAAAGCGTAACTTAGGCTACTTTTGTTTAAGAAAAATAATTGGGTTCTGAGCAAAAAAAATAAATCCCATATAATCCAATCAAAATAAATTCCACACGAACTAAGTCACAGGGAAGCAGCAAATAATATAAAACGATAAACGATAAACATAATATATATATAAATACGAAGAGGCAAACTATTATTTAAAATATTATAAAGTACCTATTTAAGTTCAGAAATATAATATGGTGTTATGTAGCCATTAGTTTCGGTCACACGAAACATATTACGTGTGTTGCAACAATGTCCGCATTAAGACCTTGAAAAAATTTAGTAAAACTAGATTTAGAGTCATGGCACGGTCGCGATTCTTTCTCTTCCCCACAACGTTAACATGCGCTTGATTGGCGTCCTATAAAATCGACACGGCCTAACATTACCATCAATATTTTTAAACTCATCAAACATCACATATACTTAGGTGGTAAAAATAAATTTTTGTACAACCGACTTCAATGTAAACAATTTATAGTTGATTTTTGTAAAACTACTCGACCGATTTCGATATAATTTAAATGGTACCTGGGAAGTATACCCTTTGAAACAAAAAAAGAATTTTCCAAATCGGTTCAGGCGTCTTCGAGTAATCGGCAAACAAACATAAAAAAAGATTCCGATGAATTGTAAACCTCCTCATTTTTGAAGTCGGTTGAAAATGCTTAGCAAAGTCATTAATAGTTTAAAAAATATTTTCTTATTTTTCTTTGGCGTAATAGTGTAACTAATATCCAACTTCATCATTATCTTGATTATACCACTTACAAGTCTACTGTTGAATATAGGCCTCCCCTACGGAATACTACAAAACACTGAGTCGGTTAAAGTTCTAGAGGACCTTGGCACTATGCTTAATCGCTCAATGATCTCGATAGTGTCTCCGGAAGAATAAGTCTTTTTTTATAGGATAGGGTGACAAACGAGCACACAGTCCACCTGATGGTAAGTGGTTTGCTGTGGCCTATAGACATCAACATTTATCCTCGTTTGCGAATCGAAATGCAGATGCGTTGTCACCCAGTGAGGACTAAGATGGAATGCCTCTTTTCCAGTAAAAATGGTCTCCGGTTCTCTACACTCACCATACGAAACACAGCAGTGTTAAGCTGCTATTTTACGCTAGTATTCTGTGAGAGCGTGGTCCTCCCCGGTCGAGCCGACCCATTCGTGCTACAACTATACTACTAATATAGCTGCAACATGGCTCTACCACGTAACAGTCTTAAGAAGAACATGGACAAGACGAAGATTATGCCAAGTGAGACTTATTATGAACTTAATTCATAATACGTCTCGATTTACTGTCTCGTTGGTATAGCGTTTGTAAGCGTGACTGCTGATCGTGTTGTTCCTGGTTAGAATTCCGATTCGGGCCAAAAATGCAGTTCAGAAGAAGCTCGGAGTCAAGAATCTGGTGTTGTTTCATTCCCACACTTCAAAATCCACTTTTATACTATTAAAGTTTTATAAAAATTGAATGGAAATACTTTCAAGTAACTGTACTACGGGGATTAAATTGATATATTTTTATATATTGTTTTATGGATTTTATAATTAAGTTTAGTTAATATTGTGAAAGAAATCAGAGGAAAACAATTTAGATATATTAATTATTTTTGCTTTTTAAAAAGTTTTTCTTAAATTCCTCATTCTGAATTTTTATTTAAATAATCTTATTCTAATAATAATGAGAATTTGGTTTTGGTTTGAATTTGGCTTGGCAAAAAATAATAAAAGTGACTATACATTTATAAGTTCTATTTAAAAAAAACTTTTGTGACCGTTGCTAAAGTTAGCATCCGAGTCCTTCGTTAGATCAGTTCCAAGGTATAATATTATTGCTTTGTCATAGAAGTTACATAAGTATTCCAAAATTTCAGAACAATCGTATGTCAGCAACTGTCTCAAAAATTGAATACAAATTTTGAACTGGAAGGCATAAGAAGAAAGCAAGATAATGAAAAGTTGATAAAAACAGGTTACCTGTATTATAAAATTTAACAACAACACATTACAAACGAAATAATATTGTAACCTGTACTCTCATTAGTGTAATTAGTTTGAGCACAATAAAGACCTCTGAGTGAAAAGTCAAGGTATAGTTAAATCACATCATGTCTAACATGCGGAATATTAATGAACATTTAACAAACGTTAAAGTGAAATCTTCTTACCGTATGAGAGCTTTTAATCATTAATATTTTTATATTTCTTTATTAGTCGGCAAATTCCAGTACTTAATACCGACTAGTAAAACTACGTTCACCACTTATCTCTCCGTTGCTTAAAATTAAAATAAAAGTTGCTTTTTACTTTCCTACAGTAAAGGTAGTCAATAATATCTTCATCAATTGTATTCTTCTTCCTCATAAGCTCATAAAAGTCAACTGCAGGACTAGAGTTTTAGGGAGGATCTTAGTACCAGAAATCTCGCACCTTTGACGCTTCTAATCGTCGTTGTATGGATATTTCGCGCCTGGCGTGAAAGTTACGAGTATACTGTCATCTGTCGGAAGTCACAAAATTTTTCCACTTTCCATAGTCGCCTCTTAAGACACACACGGGTCGAAATTGATGATATATACGCCGCCACCATAAATCAAAATAAAAGACATAGGTATATTTTTAAATATACTCGAAAAAGCAATATACTAAAATACTTAAGTTTAATATTCACTATATAATATTACACAGGTAATAATTTTGTTTCCAGAATTAAAATATGTCACCTTTATCAAAGCTTGCTAAAATAACTTAGTTACTTTAAATCTTCACTTTAATGTAAAAACAATACAACGAAGGTTAACAGATAATCAGATACTTAACTATGGTTAACTATATACTATATAGTGAACTCAAAATCAAACAGCTGTTTTTTGGTTGTAACGTAAAGTAACTTAAAGTTTAAATAAAACTAGTTTTACGGATTTGATCACGTTTATTAACTTATTTTATATTCCCGACGTTTCGAGCACTTAACAGCACCCATGGTCACGGGGGGCTGTTTCATAGTTAACCACGGCTTTCTCCAGATTAAAAATTATTAATTTTTGTTCCGATCTACGCAGTATGAACTTACAGTATCTTGAAGTCTTACAGTTGTATGCTTGGGTTGGGATTTAATTTTATTAATTATGGGATCCCAAGCAGATGGTAGCACCCAGCCATCTTCTCTATTGAATTTAGGATGTTTTTTGATTTCAATAACCTTGCGAGTCATCCTTGGAAGGAATCGGTGTTCTTTAGCGAGAATGACCACAAATCCTTGCTCAAGGATTTGTGGTCTATCAAATCTAATGTAGTGACGGGGGCGATCCTGTACGTGTTCACAGACTGCAGACTTCCCAGAGCGTCAATTCTTCACATCAGCTATGTGTTCTTTAACGCGGGTTTTTCTGGATCTTTTAGTTTGTCCTATATAAGAGAGACCACATTTACAATTAATCTTGTACATTCCTGCACCTTGAAGAGGGACATTATACTTGACTGATGGTAAAAACTGACTAATCTTCTTCGGCGGCTTGAAGTATGTTTTAATGGAAACACACTTCAAGATGTAGCCAATCTTGTCAGTGACACCTCTGACATAAACTTGCTTGACGTGTTAGAGCTCGGCGGCTAGGTGTTTACTGTCACAGATCCCTCGTGCTCTCTGAAACAAAGATTTGCCCACGGTAGCTAACTGGGAAGGATGATGGTGAGAATCACCGTTTAAATATCCATCTGTATGGGTCTTTTTCCAATACACAGTGTGGCTCAAGGTGTTATTAGGATTTTGAATGACTAATACATCTGGGAAAGCTAAAGAATTATTTGCCTCTAACTCTAGTTAGGAGCTCTTCAGGTTCTTCATACGTGAGGCTTTGTAGCCAATTTTTAAGTTTAATTTTGCATTAAAATTAAATTAAAATTGCCATCAACATCAAAACTGACCATAGTACTTTCACAATTTTACCATCTGACAAA